TTAGAGGCATTGGACTTCTAACTAGCAGGTCGCGAGTTCGAGCCCCAGATGTTACACACTTCGGGGTTGGGTATGACTGGCTGACGACGGCTAATAAGCCAGAAATGGTCATTCCAGTCTCCCTTGTCTATGTCGGTAATGCCATCCTGCTCATATCGTGCGCCGCTGTGCGGCTGACGGTTGGGCTCGAGAGAGAGAGCCCATAAGGCACAACGGAACGAGTGAGTTCGTAAGAACGATCGGTGAGCGCCCCTTCAATTGCACTTGCTCTTCTGTCAGCTCCTTTTGGGACATGTTGCGGCTAGATCGCAGTTGGTAGCCCGGACCCGCATTACAGGTGGCTGGGGAGTTTGTTTACTGGGGCTATTTTGTGAGGCTCCATAATCACATGTGACCCATTTGGCTTCCGTTTTACGGTTGAGGCTAGGATTAGGGTACCGGTTAACAGTTTCCGATTTTCGGGTTAGGGTTATGCCTTTAGGCTTAAGTTTTCGGATTACGGTTAGGGTTTGAGCGTACGATTAGGTTTCAGTATTACGGTTAGGTTTTTCATTTACGCCTATGCCTAAGGGCTACAGTTACGTTTACGATTTCGGTTAGGGTTAAGGTTAGGGTTGCCGTTAGGGTTAACGGTTAACGTTTAATGTTGAGGTTAGGATTAGGGTTAAGGTTAGGATTAGGGTTAGGTCGCCGTCCGCTTCTCATTTCTGGCTACCAACTGCGATCTAACCCATGTTGCGTACCAGTTTGTTGTTTTTTGGAGGACGGACCAAGAGGATTTCGCAGACGAGTCCCGACAGGATCAACCTCCCGCACGATGACGTGTTCCGCGGAATGGCTAGGCTTAGCAGAATCGATTAGTTCTGGATTCACAACTTGCTTTTGTCCTGTCACTGGCGTGACGAGAAGGAAGGGGTGACAGGACGTCTTCATTAACTCGACGTTAGTGAAAGCAATTACCCGCTCGACTGCACCGACTGCGATCAGTTTTCGTACCGACATCAACCGGGGTTAGACAGCAAACGTTAAGCAGCTAATTCCCCCAGAGGCAGTAGGGCCTCTATGTCCGACCTAATTGGCTAAAAGTAAATCTGCATTAACGGGCGAGCAAACACCGCGTTAATTGTCTTCGCCGTCATGGCCTCCTGCCATTTTGTTGGTGCTCGCCCATCCCAACCGCCGTTCCAGTTCCGCCTGCACACCTGCTCATATTAATCCCCACACACTACCAGTAAACCTTTCCAGCCGCCCGAGTTTTAAAATTTTCCAGTACGCCCATGTCCTCTAGGTTTTGGCAGACAGAGTAGAGGCCCCACAAAAGCGCTCTCCATCTTCATCTGCATGGAACAGCGAAGGACTCACGCTACCGGCATTAGAGGCCATTCTTTTTGCCAAAACTGCAGTAGTAGTAGTAGTAGTAGTAGTAGTAGTAGTAGTAGTAGTAGTAGTAGTAGTAGTAGTAGTAGTAGTAGTAGTAGTAGTAGTAGTAGTAGTAGTAGTAGTAGTAGTAGTAGTAGTAGTAGTAGTAGTAGTAGTAGTAGTAGTAGTAGTAGTAGTAGTGATACTGTCCGACAAGTGCTGTACAACATTATTTATTTTCTTACTCCCGAACCGGCGAAAGCTCAACGTCACGCCAGCCACCGCACCAAACTTTCTCATCAGTTAGGCGACAAAGCTCGGACAAACTACTGGTGATTGGAGTGGTGAAACCGATTCAGAAGTATCCGCCACCTGGAAAAGGTATTAAACTGCCCCTTGCAACGATTTTGTTGTGGTTTTAAGCTAATCTTGAAACGCTAAAAGTTGCGGCCTGTAAGGGTCACCTCGCTCAGCCCAGAAGTTAGGGTTAGACCGTAATCAATCCTTTCAGTTGCAATTTTTATGCGCTTCTCACAGACCGACAGGACTTCTACAGAAAGAAGTATCCGCAGATATGACGTAATGTAAAGGGCTTCCTTCATTTACCTCTGCACAATGTCACTTGAGAGAGGGGGCCACATCCTCTGGAATAACAGAAGTCGGAACATCATATGCCCATATGTGCAGAAGGAATTCGTTTACGCAGAAGCTAGACTGGAGACATTTTCTGTATTTTCCGTCGCCGTCGTCAGCCAGCTATACCCCAAATCACCCCCCGAAAGACCCGAGGCTGACGCACGGCTCAGATAGTGAGACATAAGGACACAGTGACAGTTTAACCATGGGTTCACGCAATGTCCGCTAAAATATTGACTACTAAATCACACATAAATAACATGCACTTTTCTGTACCGCTATCAGGATGACATGCGAGTGTTCTGTTTTACTGCAGAGGTCTTATCGACAGCTCTTTCAGGTGACCGTATGGCGAATGGCAATCCGTACTCGGTAAGAAAAAAAAGAAGGGGCATTTCATACTACAGACCGGATGTCCAAGACCAAACTAACGCCACTCCACCGCGCTTGAAGCAGGATCGGTTATATGCTCCCGTCCCCTAAACTATGGGGGCAAGGTCACTTTAATGCGGGGATGTTGTGAATTGGGATTTTAGGCGGTGCTCTTCAAGACAGGAAACGCAGTGCAACCGAAATATGAAAAGAGTTCAAAATCGGGTTTGCGCCACATGCTTGTTTTAATTGTCTAAATGGGTGACAAAGTTAACCCGCGTAAAATAAGAACGCTCAGAAATAAAGTTTGGGAGGGCATATAACCTATCCCTAGCGGATTAAGGAGGGCATCTTCTCGACCTGCCAACAAATCTACCAGATCCGGTTTTCCAACAGGCTAGATTCAACTGCTGAGTTTTTTAAATTCGCGCCTGGGAAGAAGGACAGATCTTTCCGCTGACGGAACGAAGTAAAACAAATCAGGCTGTCGGAATCACCGACTCTGACAGCAGTTTACACAAAAT